GGGAGGGGAGGGGAGGGGAGGGGAAGGGAGGAGAAGGGAGGGGAGAAAGATGACAGTTGGTTTGTTTTCTTTTGCTTATCCAGATCCAGGATACCCACAATATAAAAAATAAAAAAAAAAAGTTTAGTTATGGTTCATATAGACAGAGCCTGCAAAATGCTGAAAATAGTTTGTCAGTTCTCAACCAGGCTTACTCATCTCAAGTCTTTGAGGTTCTCCTGCAAATGGATGGGGAATTGTTCGTTCAGCAGAAAGAATTCTTAAAGACCTCTTGAAAAATATGCCCCAGTTATTATTTTGTTTCACATGACTAGAGTAATGTAGGAAACCAGTAGCTCTATAGCTGGCAATGACTTTTAAATTAAATCTTGCCTGGGCACCTGGTTTTCTTAGGCAGATGGAAAGTAAAATGATCATGATAGGAAGAAAATGGATATAGGACTGAAAATCAACCTAATGAGTAAATCATCCAAAGAACCTTAATAAGTCTAAAAGACATGTAAGTAGATCAGAAAATGCAATGGCTATAAGATTCATTTATAATCTAATGGAACAGGTGCCAAATAGATCAATTCTGGAGTATCTAGGAAGCAAATGATCTTTTTACTTAGAATCTGTAAAATAAAATGATATTACTGACTGAATGGGATATAATTATATCAAAATAAGAATAGTTTTTATAGAATGTTATAGTTTACAGAGCTCTTTTCGTTTATGTTGTCTCATTTACTCTATAGAATCTCAAAATAGCCCATTTAAAAGTTACAAAATGTTATACTTTTGTGTAAAAAAAAGCTACCTCTGCTCTTGAACAAGAAGTCCTTTGTCAATGTTTTTGTCAACATTAAAATAATTCTTTATAACCTATGAGAATAGCTTTTGAAATTGAGATTTTTGTCTAGATCACATTCTGCAGAGATTTTATTTTTACTAAATAGGATTGAAGAATGTGCCGTTAAAGAGAAAGGTCAAAGAGCAAACAAAAAAAGAGGGAGAGAAGGACTTCAAAGGTAAGACTCAAACCCTGTCCCATGTAGATTTCTAAGCACTCTGTGATGCATGTAGATGAAGAAGAGATTTAAAGAGAATATGGGTTCTTCTTTTTATTTTGGTTTTGGACTTTATATACCTTACTTGAAAATACATCTTAAAAAAGTAAATTAATAAGATAATTGCATATCATTACCCCTCTTGTAAAACTTATATGGTGGCTGCATATCCACCGACTTAGAGGGTATAAAAAAGTTCATAATACAGAGCCACAATCTTTACTATTTCAGGAAAATAAAATATCTTTCAAATGATCCATTGGTAGAAACACATTTTCAAGTGTTAAGGTCATGATTACATAATTTCAGAATGCCTGGTTTAAAAGTGAAAAAGCTGTTAACAGGCTTTCAAGCCTTCCTGCATCCACTCTGAATCTGAGTCTTTTAAGTGAATTGACCTTTTGGTTTGGTGTTGGATAAATGGCCTAAATCAGCTATGTGCCTATACCTTGCAGCACTGGCCCTGTGGAGAAGTGGCTCTAATGGGAACTTCACTCTCATTATCTCAGAATGATTTTATGGGAGAGAAAAGCAGCATAAAAATTGAATGATATTTCAAATAGAATAAATAAAACAGTCTGTGCCTGGCTTCACAACTGACTCACACACAGAGCCATGGGAAAACACTCATCCTTTTTGTGTCTCAATTTCCTGCCTATCTTTGCTCAAGGAGATCATGAAGACAAATATATAAAGTCTCTGTTCTTAAGGGTTTCATGTGGCATAAAGACTTATTTCTGTTTTCATGGTTATGAACATTTTTCAGGTAAAATAAAAAGTAACTGCACATACTAGACAAATTTGAATTTCCAACAAATTGATGCTTTAGTGTATTGGCACACATAGAGATCATAGTAACACATGTATAGGTTTGTTTGCCAAATAGAGGAATTGTTCAAGGGATTCTCAACCTTTGTGCTCCCTCCACTACAAATACCTCATTTTGGTGCCCATTTTGTTGCATTTATTGCTTCATGAGAGTTTCTCCTTCTAATCCAACAGTCCATTGACAGCAGACTGCCCCACTCATCTTTGTAACCATTGTCACACATAATTAGTGCTTCAAGAAAAACGTTGAATGAACAGAGGAATGAAAAATGAAGGACCACTCAGCCTATCACCCACTCCAACCCATGTAGAACTCTGTGCTAAGAAATTTCAAAGTGCTTGAGATTAACGTGGTAAACAGGACAGAAAAAGCCCCTGCCTTCATGAAGCTTACAGTCTGTCATGTATATGGTCTATCAGACTATAAACAAATAAAGTACATAATCGAGTATCAGGTAGTAATAAGTGCTATGAAGAGAAACAAATCTGGACAAGGAAATAGAGGGCTGATAGTTCATGTACTGATTGCAGAAAGCCTCTTGGAAGAGTTTGGAAGGAGAGTTAAGGTATGATTTTCTCCTATAGGTTTCTGGAATATGATAATTGTGCTGTGTTGCTAAGAAGTGAATATCCATTTAATGTATAACTGTCCATGCAATTGAGATAAATATTATAGACAGATTATAAAAAGAAAACCATGGATGATAGATCCTCACTTATCAGCCCCTACAATGGCCTTCAGTGAGAACAAAAACATCTGCCTCATGATAGATGACCAATGTTGCTTGTGCTACCTCATGATGGCCATGCTGGCAGTGAGGACACAACACACTCTGCTAGAGTGTTTACAAAATGAATATTCACAAGACTCATTTAAATACATTATTGGAAAATATTTTCCCTCCCCCTCCCCCCTACTCCCACTCATGTACTTCCTAGGATATTAAGGCTTGCTCTAAAAAATGGAGTGCTCTAGGATCCATCACTTGAAAACAATCATAGATTTTACATTACTGTTTTTGCTGCTGCTACTACTATAGCTGTTGAAATATGACTATCAGAATTCTCATGAAACCTTGCTCATTAAGGAAGTGCTGAGCAAAGCTAAAAAGCTTTTGACATACCTTCTGTTTCTTCACAACCCTAGTTTATTGTATAATAATTACCCAGCTCTTAAAGTGACTTCATAAGTAGATTCCAAATTACTGTAACATTTTCTATATTGCAACAAAAGGTTACTGGCTTCCCTATGAGGAATGTAACTCTCTGTTGAGATTTTGTAAGTGCAAAATTCTCACTCTAAGATGTTATATTTTAAAATTCATGTTCTTATAAAGTGTTCATTCTCCTCTAGGAGTGAATCCCAACAAGTTATATGTTTGGGAAGATGTATGAACCTCTAAGAATCTCAGGGACTATGGTTTTAGGCAATATTCATGATACTGAAGTTACCTTATTAAACAAATAAACAACACATTACCATTCATTCTACTTAATACCAAGTAACTAACCTAGTTAGTAGCTTATATGCTCTTTTAAACTGAAGCTTCATATGTACAATAATAAAGCAGAATTTGGGACAATGACAATCAATCACTGACGGTGTGGGAGGAGGTGGGAAATCATTAAACCCAGTTGTTTATCCAACAAAAATAATTGACTCATTCTGTAGATTCATGGCCAGAGACTCCTGGAAAACTATATCGGGAGGGAATTAGAGGTTATCTGGTCCAACCATCTTATTTTCAGGGTGATGAAACCAGAGCCCAGACAGGTCAACAAGCTTGCCTGAGATGTCATGACCAGTAAGATGCAGATCAAGAACTAGTGTTAGATCCCACTGTCTGCTCTGTGTGGTTAGCACAATGCAGGCCACATTCCTGTGCTTAGAGGGGAAAATAAGGCTCATCCCTTCTCTGAAATGTATCTGGCATCACTAAAAATCCATCCTGACTTAGAATAGAGCCTTCCATCACTCAGCCTCAAAAACACTTGTTTTTGACACTATCACTCTTATGATTTTCCCCATGTTGTGTTTAACAAAGTTAGACCACTGAGTCTCATCCTACAAAGCAGAAACAGTTAACCTGGTGTGCCTGAAACAAGCTGTGCAGGGAAGGACTACAATATGTCACATGGCCCTGCTCTGCATGAAAGTTCAATCCTGAAAAAGAATGCCTTCAGCATCAAGAAAAATAACTCTCACTGTTGCTATGAGGGATTTTTTTTTTACTCCTATCATATCCATTTTTGTCCTTTTTAAAATTCTCTGATGCTTTGTAGGAAATCTGAAAAAAAATATTTGGATGAGTTGGTTCTGATTATCCAAGTATATGATTCAGTCCATGTGTTAATTGTCATGTTTCATCTGTTCCCTGACTCACGGTATAACCTTTAGCAGATGATTTTTCTGTGCCTCAGTTTCTTCAATGACAAAGCAGACTTAGTAATAATAATCCTATCTCCCTTTGACTGAAATTTGATTACAATGTCTTAAAAGAAAGTGCCTTTAAAATTATGTATTATTAGTAATAGGCCCTTATTAATCATCTTCATTGTATAAGCATTAAATAAAAGGTACTAAAGAGGTCATATTAGCATTTAAAATATGAAAACTAGGTTAACAAAAGCATTTGATCCATCAGATTTTGCTATTCTACTCCGCCAAAGTACATTCTAAACTCTTGACTTTTTTAATGAAATAATATCCTTCTGAAATGTTTATAAGTTAAAAAAAAGCCTCCCTTGCTCTCTCCTCCTGGGTGGTATCTTTAGATGGTGGCTATACCTGAAACAGGAAGAAGGAACTGGCACGGGGAGGTAGGCACTGAATGTAGTATTAACCAACACTTTAAAAGATGAGGTTATTGGTAACCATCATTAGCACCTGATTGCATCATTTGTCTAAGATCAGGGCCATATTTTCCTGAATTTGACTACATTTTCTAACCCAAGCCCATTTGTGCCCAAGGGCACACAATTACAAGATATTCTTATGGGTTCACTTTGTGGCCATGGGACAGGAGAATGCCAACGCTCCCTGGCTTCAACTTCGATGGTAGCCCCATGATTCTATCCAACCAAACCAAATGTCCACACAGGGGCACTTGCTGGAAATTTAGATTAAATTTTTTCTTGTAAATACACATAACCACTTAGTTTCTTGATAAGTAACTAGAAATACTTAATGTCTTCTGTTAGCCTGAATTATAGCACAAACCCTGAGAAAACCTGATTCAATGGGAAAACACCCTTATATAATATTCTTCCTTGCTTTGTTATTTTGAGACTGACTATGTCCACACAGGGAAAACCATCTAGAGGATAACTGAAATATCCAAATAAATATTTAACATCTCCAGCTGCATACTTGTCTGCTTATGTGGCAATCAGAAAACAAAGGAACAGAGAATAACCCAGAATTCCCTTACTCATCAAAATTGCTATCCTTCAGTAAATCCTTTTATAAACCATGAATTAATAACCAAATGCCTCTCTCTAAGGGTATTGAGATTAGGTCAAATCAAGAAAAATTCAGAGTCGCAAACAACCCACCTGAAATATAGTTCATTAAACAACTCTCTGAGTTCTTATTTATACTAGACACTTCATGGAAAATAATACAAGGCAGGGTCTACTCTCTACATTGCACTTTAGCATCCCACATGGACAGATGTATCCACAAATAATAACTGAAATATCTGGTGTTAGAGTTAGTGATGTGTAAACTATTGGCAAAGCCATTAGTGATTAATAAAGCATGGAGCATAAGTTGCTCAGTAGGTTTTTAATAAAGTGTCTGTAGAACTTGACAATTAGTTAAAATGTTAGAGCAAGATGTGTGAGATCCAAAGGCAGAATTTCAAACTGCTAAGGGTAACTCCATGTCATTTCCACAAGGGAACATGGTTAAGCAGCTGAGAGGACAGTCTAAGATAAATTCCATTTGTAGAGAGTGAGCGCCTGCCTAATTCTTTAACATCTAAGTGTAAAGACTACTGGATTCTAAGAAAGTAAAGATTTCCTGTCAAGATTATGAAAATCTTGGCTTCTTTTTTGCCATTTCTCATGTGCTTCATGGTTAAAATTTTGCATATTTTAAGTGAACTGTGCTGTTTTGTCTCATTTCATTTATGAAGAAAGAGTTCTAGTCGTTGAGTACTTAGTGATGTTTTGTATTAACCTTATAAGAAAGACAGGTCTTGAAAAGTATCTTTTAAGAAAAGAGCATTGTTCAACTAGACTGACATTACTCAGCCTGGTTCTCACCTTGAATATGCCTTTTGATTCAGAGGCCAGAGCCCATGAGGCTGATGCATGTGAATGTTGTCATTCCAGCTGGGAAGGATGAATTCTTGCAGTAACATCTGCGGGTCCAAGCAGGCACAGGCTGCTGGCGAGGGCGGGTACCAGCGCTATGGCGTCCGGTCCTACCTGCACCAGTTTTATGAGGACTGTACCACCTCGATCTGGGAGTATGAGGATGATTTCCAGATCCAGAGATCGCCTAACAGGTGGAGCTCAGTATTCTGGAAGGTAAGTCGGGAGTATGTTTTTAACTCAGGAAATGGAACAGTTGTTGGATATGATGAAGAACTGAGGCTGCAGAGCACCTAGAGGTTTGGAACTCTGTGGGTGCATCACTCCTAGTGATACTAAATGCAACTCTCTTCCCTTAGGAAGGGAGAACATAAACTGTGAGCTGAAGCAAGCCTCTAAGCACAGCATAATTGTTAATTTGTAGGTTAAACATCAATAGGTATAATTGCCATTATTAATTACTATTTTTGCTACTGTTAGTAATGTGCCACTAAATTAACCAACTGTGAAGCCATCCATAGATGAAGCATTATATGCTTTCAGCCTCCCTTACAGGCTTGCTAAATATCACTTGACAAATTACAACAATTATTAAAAGGAAATCATGAGGTATTTAGAGAGAGTTGATGCTGAGACATAATACAGTGGTCAGGATGTCAGCTCTAGCTCTGCTAGCTACGTGATCATGAGGCTGTCTGAGCTTCAACTTCCTCAAGTGAAGGGGCCTCATCAGGCTATGTATTCCGTCATTCAACATATAATTAGCAAGCACTATTCTGTGCCAAGAAGTTGCAAACTGCTGGAGATTAGAGTGGTAAACAGAAGAAAAAGTCTTTGCCCTCATGGAACTTATAATCTATCATGGGAAACAGACCATAAACAAATAAAAACACATACTAGAATGTCAGGTAGTAACAAGTACAATGAAGAGAAATAAAACAGGATAAGAGAATAGGGAGTGATGGAAGACTGGTATTTAGACATGCTGATCATTGAAAGCCTTTCAGAAGAGATGACATTTGAGCAAATACCAGGATGAACTGAGGAAGCAGACCGTTAAATTATTTGGCTGAAGATCATTCTAGGCTTAGGAAAACAGCAAGTCCAAAAGCTCTGAAATGGGAACAAGTTTGGTGTATTTGAAAAATAACAAGAGATACAGTCTGATTGGAGTAGAATGAGAGGGAGAAAAGAAAGACAATGGATTCAGAAAAATAATGGCACAGATCATTTATGTAGAGCCTTGTACATGGTGGTGTGAACTTTGTCTCTTACCTTGAGAGACATGAGAAGCCGTATGAACATTTTATGCAAAAGAGTGACATGATCTAATATTTTAATGCAATAATTCTGGCTGCTATACAGAAAATGGGTTATAGAAGGACAAGTGTAGAAGCAGCTAGATTATTTAGGAGGCCATTAAAGTACCCTGGCAAGAGATGATGGTGGCTTATATTAAGGAGACGGTAGTGGAGATGGTGAGAAGTAGCCAGATTTAGCATAAAGTTTGAAGACCTAGTGGTCAAGACCTGCTGATGAATTAGATATGAGACAAGGAGGAGTCAAGCAGGATTCCAAGTCTGGTAGCCTGAGCTATTTAGTGAAGATGTTATCATTTACTGGGATGGAGAACACTAAGAAAGCAGCAGGATGGGTGCGGGACCAAGAGTTTGATTCTGACCATGTTATATTGGTGATGCCTTGTTAGACATGCAAGTGGAGAACTCTAGTGGCAATTTAAATATGATAAATAATTTATCACATTTTTAATTTAAGTAATTCATTCAATTTGTGGATTGGGAGTTGTTAGTATATAGAATGTACGCGTACATAAGGCACTAGACTAGGTGGGATCATCCAGGAAGACAGTAGGGACATAGAAGAGGGCATTGGGACCTTCCAACACTTAGAAATCAAAAAAGGCTGAGGATTCAGAAAGGGATGCTGAGAAAATGCAGCCTAACATTCTGTGTCTCAGTGGTTTCCAATCATCCTGACTTTCTCCCAAAAGACCTCAGAATTTTTAACATTGATATTGAATAAACTTGCAATTTATTGGCAATAGTGTAACAAGAGACAATGTAGCATGATGATTATGAGCATGGACTCTGTCCTCAGACTGCATGGTTTAAATCTCAGCTCGTCCGTTTAATAACTCTGCAACTTTTCACAAATCATTGACCTTAATGGGATTCTTACAGTGATACTCATAGTACCAATCACATAAAGTTGTGAGAATTAGATAATATAATATTTGCAAAGAGCTTAGAACAATGTCTAGTATGCACTCAGTAAGCATTCGATATAGAAATTACTATTACCAGATGCCATATGGAACACTGAGTTGGAAATAAAACTGGAAATCTAGTTAATAAATAAAGTATTGGGTAACACAGTTATTACCATAGATTACCCAAGACCTTTGTTAATTCAAAATCTTACTAGTGTCCCATGCTTTGTTTTAGAATCGGTCAAGCCATCTTCCTTGCCCTGTGGAAATGGCTCCTTACTGGCCTGGATCAATGCAGTACATAGCCAAGCTTGGAACATCTTGTATTTACCCACATAAGTGGGTGGTTGCCTCAGTATGTGTCAAAAAGCAAATATTTGCTTGACAGATCTGTTGTGCCAAGAGCCTAAAATGTCACTGACGTACAGAATATTGTAGCATCCATGTGGATCCAAAGCAGTGGTGGGTTATATGATTTTCGATGCTGTAAATCCATCAAACAATATATAAGTATGGATTTGAACTAAAGAACTCACCATAAATTACCAACCTCAGAATTCAGATTTCAATATTTTTGTCTTTTTATTTTACACAAACAAGAATGTGTTTGTTCCTGTTGTGCTGGACCTACTTCAGAGAAAAAACAAAACAAAACAAAACAAAACAAAAGGCAAAAGTCCCTGGCCTCATAGAGATTATGTCCCAGCAAAATCCAAATCCTAGACTCATACCCTAATCATTAAACATTAGGCTGGGCATTCAGACCCCTACAGTGAACCTGAATAAATATCCTAAGAATCACTGTTTTATCACCTCCATCTCCTTAGCAGTGGGCAGCATGGAGGGACTTAACGAGAAAGGAGACTGGAATCAAATGGGCCTGAATTAGAATACTTGCTCTGTCCTATGGATCTAGCTCACAGTGCTATTCTTTCTTTCTATAAACATTTATATGTCCTCTATGAGCAAGGCCATGTGGTAGGCCTGGGGTTCAATTGTGAATACAACGCTGTTCTTCACCTGGGAATAAGATAGAGCCTTGACTTAGAGGAGTTCACACGTAGGGAAGGTAGACATATACACAGATTATTACAACCCAACATGATAAATGCTCCCCTAAAGGCAGTCATATTATTTACTGGGAGCGCAGGGTTTGGGGGGTGAGGAGGAGGACCTGATGCAGCCTGGGGAGGATATAGCTCCACAGAAGAGATCGCCTGGGAACAAGCAGGAATGGGGCACCCAATAGAGAAAGCGCTGCCAAAGCTGAGTGGTGAGAGAAGATGGCGTGTGCTGGAGACTGCAAACAGTTCAGTATGGCTGGGGTGCAAGTTTAGAAGTTGAAGGAGAGGGGTCAAAAGATGAACGTTGGAATGCATACAAGAGCTGGATCATGAAAGACTTTTAAAAGCCGTGAAACAAATTTTTCTAGAAACTTCCAGTTGGAGTACAGTGAGGGGGCAAGATAATAGTAAGTCTAGGCTTTCTTGGGGAGGTCATCTCACAATCAGGTGTGCACACACACACACACATGCATGCACGCACGCACGCACACAAGCACACACAGTATTACACACATTCATTGCCTCTTACCGGTCCTAGATTACTGCATGGTTGTCTCAGTCACTGCTACTTTATCCCAGTGCCTGCAACTGCTGCCATATGCAAAACTCTATGTGACATGGTCCCACCTACGCCCTGCCACCCACTGCTGCTGCCCAAGGTGAAACTTTTCTTTCTTATCCTTGCACTAGACCTTGACTAAGGCTGTTACCACTTGCTTGTGCAGCAAACAGCCTCAGTATGGCAGGTATGAACTCATGGGATAAGTCTTCTCACTCTCAATCCTTCTTTTTCCTCACCCCAGGGTTATCCTCCTCTGTAACTTTTCCTCGACCCATATAAGAAACCACTCAAAGGGTGTCCAACAGCCATGTTCAGGGACAAGGCAAGACCGCCTCCGTAGCCTGACTAAGAGTGAAAGTGCCTCTTGTCCCTCTCTTTTCTCTTGACCTTCCTCCTATCTGTTCTGATTGCTCCAGTTTCTCCTGTGAGCTAAGCCAGAATTTAAACTTACATTTTAGATTTGTCTTCAAAGTTTTGCTGGATATTAAGGAGCTGGTTTTATACTAGAAAGGACAGCTGGCTCTATACTAGAAATGAGAGGAAGCCTCTTAAGAAGAGAAACCATGTGGCATTCTTTCTGTTTCTACACATTTTCTCAGATGGCACTTGAAAGATAGATAAAGAAGGATGAGACTAACAGTGGAGACCATCAGAATGCTATCATGATGATATAACAGTAGCAGCACCGTTAGAGTAGCTGTGGGGATGTGGAGAAGAAAGACAACATTCAAGAGAGCTTCAGGAGGTAGAATCAATATGATTTAATTATCTATTGACTGTGAATGTGAAGAAAGACTCAGTGAATGGGTGGCTACCAGGAACACAGATAGAAAAATTGGGAAGGAAGGGAGGGAGGGAGAGAGGGAGGGAGGGAGGGAGGGAGGGAGGCAGGGAGGAAGGAAGGAGGACCATTTTGAATATTTTGGGTTTCCTGAGCCTTGGGGACATTTCTGTGTAGATCCTCCTATTGGCTGTCAGAAATATGAGGCTAGAGCCCAGGAGAATGATTTAGGCTGGAGTTGAGATTTGGAAATCATTGGTATATGGGTGGGGGTTGAAACTGCAGCCACAGGTTAAACCCTAGAGAAGACATACTGAACAAAAGGTGTGAGTTAAGGGTGGAACCCTGGAGAACACCAATAATCTAAGAACAATGTCTGACAAAGTGGGTTGAGAGTGGGTTATTAAAGAGGTAGATGTAGAAAGAAAAAAGAGTTGTATCAGGTGTAGCAATAGGTGAATGTTTTAAGAAAGCATGAATGACTATAGAACATTCAAATGAGATAAGAAGAGAAAAATCACATGTGATGTCACAATTAGGAGGTCTTTAGTGGCTTCAGAGAGAGGAATTTCTGTGAAATCATGGAGGACCAAGCCGGGCTATCAAGATTAGGAATGAGTTCAAGCAGTAGCTGGAGGGGAACACAGGGATCTAGAATAGATTTTGAAGGAGGGAGCAATTGAATTTGTTCACGTGCTAGAGGGACAGAGTCTCTGTAAGGTAGAAGAGCTAACGTGGGATCATGGGTATCACGACCCAGGTGAAGGGTGACTGTGGAGACTGTAGGAGGTAAAGCTTGTGGAAGGACCTAGATCATAGCGTGACATAGGCTGTGACTCTGTAAAGCTCAGTGTCTTTACAAGAAGTCAGGCAAGAAGGTCAGGACGATGAGCTTGACTCTGTCATCCCTGCTGGCAAGTGACACCACTCGTAGCTCAGATCCTGCTGAGGAGAGGTCAGCCACAGCCCACAGGGCGAATGAAGAAGAAAAGCCAGGCTTCAGTCTTGATATGCTTCTCCTGAGTTACCTCCAACCCAGATGGCTCCTTTCAGATTTCGCTCCAGCCAGCATTCCCCACCACACGCTGTTCTTCCCTGCCACACTAGTTCTTGCTTCCAGCAGTCATTACTGCCTTGTCTCTGCCAGAACAGCTGCGTTGCTGCTGCTGCCAGTTCTGCTTATTGGAGCAAACTGCATTTTCAGAAATCATCAGCTCATAGAGATACAACGAAGGGGATGTTGGTCAAAATAACAGCAGTGTCAGGCTTGTCGCCCCCAGCAGCAGAGTTTCTGGAATCCAAGTTCTCTCTATCCAGTCCTCCTTCCCAGCCGGGGGACTGGGTTTTCACACATCCTCCCCACAGCCAAGAGAGTCACGAGAAGTCACAGTTCAGAAACTGTCCTTGCTAATTTGTCATTGCCTGGGAAGGTCTCTGTCTCTCTCTCTCTCTCTCTCTCTCTCTCTCTCTCTCTCTCTCTCTCTCTCTCTCTCTCTCTCTGTGTTGGTGTTGACCTAATCACCCCATAGCCCCTCAGACTGCTCTGGTGTGCTTGGGGGGAGGCCCCTTGCCCAGCAGCATTTCAACTCTTCTGCATGTCCCTAAACAGGGCTGCTTTGGTCTCTTAGACCATTAAAATACCTCTGTGTTGCATTGTTTTAACTCTCTCTATTTAATAGAGCCCCATTTTAGAAATAGGGCCACTTCAACTTAGAGCTGTATGCAAAGATAATTGTTATGATACTGTATAGCATCAATACCAAAGTTTTTTTATTCTTTCTGGTATGCCAACAAGGTACCAGGATTAAGATGATGTATCCCAACATCCCTTCTCACCTCTATTATACGCTTAGGAAGTTAAGATGCAGGGAAATTTTGATCCTGTCATTGCTTCTTCACACCTACCATCCCAAGCTCTCCCTGGCCTGTTTTAACAGATTTGGAGTCCCTCTCTGGGCACACCTCGCGGAGATCCTCGTTAGCCTTGCATTGATGGCACCTTCAGATTCTTTGGAGTTAGCTATTCATTACCTTGGGCTCCCCTCCACAGAGGTTGGGCATCTCTCTGCTACTCAGGTGTAACAAGGAAAAGGGAGGAGGCTCAGGGAGGCCAGCCATTTCTAGTTCTTAAAGTGAGCAGAAGTCCCACCATCTGCAAGTTGTGGTTTGCCTTTTGGCTTTTAAGTGATATTCCAAGAGTGGATTCTAATCTATAAAGCACTGTTTAGTTGAGGAGCAGACTGTTCTGAGAATCAATCACCTGGCTCCATATTCAGCAGTCTGGTGGTTTAGGTTAGTCAGTCAGGAATATTCATTAAGCACAATAAGAGCTGTGGAGAGACAAGACAGAAATAGAAGATGCAGAACGTTGGCCTCAGTTGCTCTTAAGAATCTCATAAACTAAGATGGATACATTTTCGCTGCCCTCAATTTTTGAAAATTAGTGCCAGTTCTTGAGGAGGGAGGTAATTTTGTGACATATGAAGCTTGTCACCATCGATATTTAAGTTAATTTCGTTTTTCCATTCAGAATTTTCCAATGTGAGTCACTTTGTAAAAGTTATTTTTAAATAATAGTCTTTGGAGGTGATTTTATTCACCACCATTTTTAGAAAAATGTGGAAAGCTGTTCAAAAGGTAATATTTTATAACCCAAGTTTTCCTGTACTACTTATATCTTATGTAGAATAGTTTCTATTTTTTTTCAGAAGACACTATATTGACTTTTTGTTTGTTTTCAATTTCCTTTTTACAATATTACGTAATGGAATTTTGTCCATTTGTGGTAACAAAAACTCTTGCAATAAAAAAAAATAATAGCAGGTAATATACAAAATAGTAATTGGTGAAGTATCATGGGAGAATAAAAAGGGGAGCACTTAGAAGTCTTGCACTGGGTTAGAGCTGATCACAAGCCACCTGCTCCTATGGGACCTTGAACTATGTATGCTTCTTCAATCCTAAACACCTTAGTTTCTTACAAGTAAGATGGGTATAAATATACCTACCTCTCATAAGACACTGGTGAGGATAAAGTGAAAAATACATTTAGCAATATGCTTAGGTCACAATAGATGCTGTCAACAAAAGGTTGCTGATACCAACCCAATGCCAACAGGAGTCTCCAATCTGTAAAAGGAGAAACTTGATTCAAGTAAAAACAGTGTGCAAGCCTGGAAAACTCAGCCTTCAGAAGAAACAGAAAATGCATTCCTCTGAAACAAAGGGGAGGCTGGCTTATGCAGAGAAAGCTCCCATGCTGGTCCCTGATTGGTCCATTTTCCTGCAATCCAAATTTGCACAGTTTGATTGGTCCAAATAGCACTGTCCTGATTAGCTGGAGCCACTCTGATTGGTCAGTAAAAATGCAAATGAGGATATAGCTGCATAGCTCTGATTGGACAGGGAAAGTCTCAGCCCATTGGTCAAAATACAATTCCAGGAACTCCTTTATAATGGTCAGCTCACACTGTGCAGAAGCATAGTACAGGAGGCTGACAGTTCAGTCTGTGGCTTTCTCCAGAAATGCAGCGTGCATGTGAGGCCTCAGCAAAGACTGGTTATGAATATGAGCCCAATTAAACCACAAGGAGTCCTTCTTGGTAGATATATCCCTTCTCAAGGTTCACAATGCTGGATATACTAGTTTTCCTTTCCCTGCTTTGTTAAGGTGATGGATTTGCAAATGTTTTCCTTCTGTTATCCAAACCTTCTTTTTTAGTGTATTACCTGAGAATGTAATAAATAAATAACTTAAACATACTTTAAATGTTCCAGATTAAATGGTATTATGCATTTCATTATTTTTCCAACCTTGTTATTCTAACTAAAAGAAATTAGAAACAGGAGGAAATGAAAAATGTGGTTAAAAAATAAATAACTATGTTAGCTGTTCTTTATTCCAAGTGCTGAGCATTATGTTGTAATGAGGTTGCCAATGTAGCATAATTTTATGAGAGGTACATTTCCCAATAATAACAGCTACTTGTTACAATATATTACTTAGTCAGGCACAGGGCTAAGTACTTTCATGCACGTCTCATTTAGTCCTCACAACAACAGTATAAGGTAGGTACTAGTATCATTTATCATTTTATAGATGGGAAATTAACAAGAGAATCATTTAAGTAACTTTCTAGTTGGCGGTGCTAGAATCCAAGCCTGAGCCTGTTAACTCCACCCTCTGAGCTTAAACCCCTAAATGGTATGTTATGTTCCATCTTCAGCATGCTACATTTTATTAGAACTTGAGCTGATGCAGTGTAATCTTCATCTGCTACTCCTAACACTTTTCATCTGCTACTCCTAACACTTCTCATCTGCACAAGTAAAGCCCAAAGAGTTTCATGTTAGAGGAGAAAGCACCAGCCTGGGGTCAGATCTGTGGCTTCTAGCCCTCCTCTGCAACTTGCTAGCTGTTCTTCCTGGGCCAGTGACCTGCCCTCTGTGAGGCTGCATTTCCTTACCTGTAAACTGGTGATTATGGGTCCTTCCCCGCTTACTTGGGGAAGGGGTGAGTAGTTACACATACTGTCAATGTCCGCCAGCCTAAATCACCAGCACATACCTATATATTGAGCGAGTTGAGTTTATTACGCATCATAGTGAAAGAGGTGACACCATAGGGCTTCCTGGGGTATTTCAGGAAGGGAGTGTGAGAAATGACATATTATAGGCTTTGGGTGGGCGATTTGGGAGAGGGTCTAAGGGAACAGGAGATCACTCTGCATTGTCATGGACAATTCTATGATTGGATTTCTTAATGAATCTTATCCATATAGACAGCAGCCTAGAGCCAGACTAAAGCAGTAACTGGTAAAGAAGCAGCAGTTATTCATATTAGTGTGTGTGTGTGTGGGGGGGTATTGGGTATTTTGTGGCTTGCACAATGACCTTGATTTTGTCTGTGCTGAGAGAAAATGATGAAGTGGTCACACTGCATCACGGGCTCAGAATGAGCTTGCCTGATGTTATGTTCTATGAGATTGATTGTGCCGACAGGGGAACAACATGGCTTCGCTGTGAGCTCCAGGCAGCTTCTAACAATATCTAGGCCTAATGGATAGAGTTAGGCCAGCTCCTGAATATCAGGGCTGCTTCTGTCTTCCCCGAGACCCAGTGACACAATGTAAGCAAAAGGGGGCTTTGTCAACAACAAAGCATTGTACAAACTGAAAGCTCAGAAGAAAAAAAATCAATTTCTAGCTGTCATTAAAATCAGAAAGGTCCTCCTTCCGCCTTCTTTTTTAACCAGAAAATTGTGTAGGCATACAGATTTGGGGTGACTAGGAAAGTTCACTTCCTCTCCAAAAAATCCAAGACGAGTCCTGCCCTGGTAGTCTCAGGGATAGCTGAAGCACTGTGCTTATCTGTCTTGCTTCACTGTGTCTTTCTCTAGGTCGGACTCATCTCTGGCACAGTCTTTGTGATTCTTGGATTGACTGTTCTGGCAGTGGGCTTTCTTGTGCCCCCCAAAATTGAAGCCTTTGGCGAAGCTGACTTCGTGGTGGTCGACACGCATGCTGTCCAGTTTAACGGAGCCCTTGACCTGTGCAAGCTGGCAGGAGCCGTGCTCTTCTGCATCGGGGGAACGTCCATGGCGGGGTGCCTGCTGATGTCGGTGTTTGCAAAAAGTTACTCCAAAGAAGAAAAATTCCTGCAGCAAAAGTTTAAAGAGCGAATCGCAGACATCAAGGTACACACCCAGCCCATTACAAAAGCTCCGGGCCCAGGGGAAACAAAGATACCGGTCACTTTGTCCAGGGTTCAAAATGTCCAGCCTGTATCAACAACCTGAACCTCCCCACCGCCACCACCGGTCCTCCCCTCTCTAACATGGTTACAATGAAGCAGGCCAGCTTTTGAAGTGACAAAGATTCGGTGTTGATTTGCACAGGCCTGTGCTTGTCTGTGGGCAGCACGGGGCGCGAGCTCACACTTGCTCAGCTCAGTGGCTCTGGGGAAGGTGGACGCCATGTGTCCAGCTGTGCACAGGCTCCCAGCTGCTTAGAGGGTGTTTCTGTGTGTCCGTCAGGAGCCCCCTCCCACTCCCCTCCCATAGATTGTGACTTAGTGTCCTTTTCCGTGTTTTTGGAAAATGCTGAACAGTTTAGACCAGCCTACCAACTGCTAACGTGCCCATTTTATTTTCTAATATTGGTTTTTCTAATCTCCCCTGTGTGGTGCTGCCTTCCATTCCTGTCTCACTAAGTGTAAGATATTGTCATATGTGTTCTTAGAAAAATGAAGTTCCCTGACTTTGACCCAATCGCTAGTCTTTCAACTATATCTTAACATGAGGTTCTTGAGATTGGATACAAATTTATCAGATTTCTCCATAAATCTTTTTTTCTTTAGTTTTTTTCACTTAAAAAAACTAAAATTGCCAACTGTAGAATCTTGGGGAAAAAGTTAATGTTAGGAGTATCTATGTACTCAATGTCCAAAAGCACTGAATTCGAAGCCAAGAAATTTGAATTCTTACTACTAACTAGCTCTGTGACCTTGGGGAAGTCACTTAACCTCCCAAGCCTCAGTTTCCCCATCTACATAATGGGAGTCCCAGACTGTGATAGCTGAGATTCCTTTTGTACCATGTGTCATCGTGTCTCCCCCCTCCAAAGGGTGTTTACGATGTTTTGGGACTCTCACCACAGGGGAGTTCTTTTAGACCTGGACTCGGAGAGTCACCCAGTCAGCAGCCTCTGTCCACCAATCCCTTAAATATCCAACCCCAGCAGTTTATACGATGCTGCCATATTTTTATAAAGACAAAAGTAAGCCATTCTCAAATAAGAAACCCCTGAGTAGATATTAACCTTAAAAAGGGTTTTCTTTCTCCAATAAGACATTTTATTCTCCAGCAAGATGTTTGTCTCATCCCTTTGCGATTTTATTTAATCTGTGGATTTCAAGAACTGAGGGAAATGGAAGATGTGACATGGGTATTCTCTCAGACTTTGTGCCCCTTCGTATTCTGTCTTTTTTTTTTTTCTTCCTTCACTGGATAAATAAAATATGTGAAAGAGCAGAACCTGAATTGCATTGTCATTCCTTCAGTGTGGCTGTTTTCTCCCCAACATGTAATTTTCCATTCTGAGGCTGAATGAGCACTGATGTTTCCCTGGCTAAATGGAGGAATAAATGAAGCAATTAGTGCTCTCCCTGCACATTGTTTATTTTGCCCAGTCCAGCATAAAACGCAGAGCAAATCGGACCCCTCAACAAGGATCATTGGCCAGATTGGGGAGAAATTGTTTCAGTTTCCTCAGGTTCTCTACCTGCTCATGGAAATACCATTGTAATTTGACTCTTTGAAGCCGTCTACAAGCCCCCAAATATCTGTTCAATGCAACAGCATTTGAAGCTTCCCATGCTTGCTTCTGTGCTATGTACCAGTGGTTCTCTGAGGATGAGACTTGACTTTTAAAAGCTTCCAGAATGAAAATGAATGGCTGTGGGGCATGGGAGCTTTTAGGTCCAGGCATGATAGCAGCCACGAAAAAGCAGCTCCATTCCTCAGACAAAGGCCTAAAACAAACTGAGATGCATCAAGTAAGAGCTGGGTGGGAGTGATTCAACCTTCCCTGTGTTTCCTGTCCTGCCCAAGCTTCGTGGGGCTGGGGACTTAGAAGGAAGAAGGATTGAGGGATTTTGTAAGAAAGCAGACGAAGAAGCTGAAAGGTATCAGGAAATAAACCTTGACCTCTGGAAAGAGTGCAGGCCATGTGTAATCAGAGGGCAAGGAGCAGTAGACTGAAGACTTTTTAAAGCGATTTTCAGGCCCCGCTGGGGAGACATCAGTGATATGGCAAGCCAGAGGGTGTCAGAGACTTGGCCTCAGCCTGTTTGCTTACACTGAGCCAATCTTTCCCTTCAGTGCTGAAATTTCTAAAGGAAAGTGAAACCACATACGTATAGATGGGGAGAGAAGGTGCTGAGGCTGCAATGGAGAAACTGAAAAATGAGTTCTGGCCTGGAGATCCCGTAAGCAGTGGCACGTGGGTGGAAACCTTGGATGATATGGGCCCACCCCAGGCAGAAGACCCCCATGCCATCAGCACTGATCCAGCCACCTCCATCTGCTTGGGCACTTCCAGTGGCTAGACCCCTACCCAGAATGCAAACCACATCTTATGATGGCTCTATATGGTTAGAAAGTTTACCATCACGTCTTTCCAAAATATGCCTTGCTAACCCTTCAGCACACTGGACCAAGTGCTAGAATTCAAAGTTACCCACAAGTCTAACCCCTCGTAAAAAAGACCATCGAACCCACCCCTGCTATGAAGTTTTTCATGCAATCATTTTAAATCCTGTCACCTCCCTGGCTGTCTTCTTCAGGCAAACATTTCTATATATTCTCAAAATGTCTAATTGTCCATGGCACCTATTAAATGGGGCCCCTAGAAGTTTTAAAATGTATGTAGGTTATTAGATACCCTAACTTCATTAATTGCCTTACTTATGAAATGCATAGGCACCCAGCACCTCAAGCCAGAAAACCGTTGACAAGAGATGCATAAGCAGCTCCTCTGTGCACTTCCATGGCCTCCTGTGACCTGTCTAGCTCCTTCCACATGTCCTGGAACGTGCATTCTAGCCATACTCGGCCATTCTCCTCTCTAAATGTGCCTACATGTCATGCCACTGTGCCTGCACTCACAGAGCTTATTTTCCCAGTAATAACCATCTGCCCATTCTCTGGTTATCAAACTCCATTCAAGGCCATATCAAGAAATAACAGCAATAACAATGAGCTAATTTGAGGCCAATGTGCCATTGAAGCATTTTACGTGTATTAATAAATTTAATCCTCACAAAAAACATAGGAAGTTGGGGCTATTATCATATGCCTATTTCACAGGAAAGGAAACAGGCAAAGAGATAACTTGTCCAAGGAGAATCAGTAAGTGAAGGAGGTGGGATTCAAATCTAAGGAGCCTGGCTCCAGGAGCAACAATACACTCTGGAAATGTCACCTTCTCTGCAGTTCTCGGTCTCTCCTCTCCTCTCCTCTCCTCTCCTCTCCTCTCCTCTCCTCTCTCTCTCTCTCCTGGTTCAGACTTAATGTCTCTTTCTCAAGTGCCAGCATTTTGTACAAACACATTCTGTTGCACTTATCTCTCTTTATTATAGTGATTTGTTTATACATCTGTTTCTTCCATTAGAAGCTAGACTATTAGTTGCTTGGGTACAAGGAGCATGACTTAATGAGTGGTGAACTCTCAAAAGCAAATATATAAAAGCTGTTTTGCTACTATCATATGGTCATTTAAAACAATTATTGTATTTTTACCTCAAGCCAGGCATTCTGTTGCCACTACAGAAAACAAAGAGGAGATTAATAGGGACACTAAAATTGTTTCATATCTAATGTGCGTGGGAACTAAGAATGAGAGCACGGCTATGGAGAGCAAAGTTCTCCTAAATCTACCATTTGGGTTGTGGGGAGTCCAGCCTAATGGCGATCTTGCCATTACTCTATCTGGAAGCAAAATCCTCCAGCCAACAAGCCAAGCCATAGAGCTACTAGTCATACTTCTCACTCCTGAAAGCAACTGATGGAAGAGCTAGACCCATCTACTCAAGAGCAGAGTGAATTGTCTCCAGCAGACCTGAATAAATAACCCGACCCTTCACCCTTAAATAGGAAAGTACAACCAGAATCATCAGATATCTGAGGAAAACCAGCACCTTGAAAGAGGATATACACCCGGAATAATAGGCTCCATGGAAACCATAAGTATTTCAGGTATCACAGGAGAACTCTTTAAAAAAGCTAATTAGTCTTCAAGACAAATTGCATCAATAAAATCAAAATAGAATACGATGAAAAAGAACACCAAATAGTTTAAAAATAACAAATTCATAAGACAATAAGTTGAAGGCACTTCCCAAAAAGTAAAATAGCCCCCATAAAAATAAAAATGTGAGACAAAAAAGTAAAAGCCAGAGAGTCAAAGAGAAAAAGATAATAATAATAATAAAAAACAGAGAAAAGAATATAAATAAAATAATAGGAGAAAATTTCTCAAGGCTATATAGAATACAGAAATCTTCAGGTTGGAAGTGCCTGCTAAATATTCAGCAATATGAATGGTTAAAAAAAAATCAGACACAATCTTCTGAAATTTTAGAACACAAATGATAAAAAGGATCCAAGAAGCTTCCAGAAGGAACCACCAACATCTACAAAGCAATAATAATCTGACTGAGAAAAGAGAAAGGCTGTGATTTCATGTGACGAATGGTAAGGTAACTTTTAGTCCACAGAAAATACGTATGCTTTTATCAAGAAGAAAAAAGGAAAGCAACAGAAACTCCAGAAAGAAAACTTTAAAATAAACTGCACAAGGAAATTGTGGTCTAAACATTAAGCATGATTGTGGCTTCATGGGGGAGAATTGACTGAGAATAAGAAAAATAGAAGCCATTTGAAATTTGATCTTGCCATTAGGCACATTCTATTTCTAAGAGAACAGGAGTGGGGACACCGAACCCACAGAGAAAGACCTGAGCTCTGCTGCCTCAGTAGCTCTGCAAGTGACAAACATTTTACAAAGTCAAAGGACAACATTTGTTTTCTACTTTCAAAATCAAACTATAGACAAAATAGAAGTCTAAATTATAATTATGAAACAGACTGCATTTGTGGTCAATCTGATGATATTAAAATAAAAGTAGAGCTGGCAAAATTTGGAAAGCAGAAGGGAGAAGACAAGAGGAGGCAATGGTAAGAATACAAACATCCTTGTCTAATTTAGTAAAGAGTCAAGAGTAACTATCTCATGTTTATGGAAAGAAATGATGGCTGAGGTTTATTATTTGCTTATAAAAGATAACCCCATGATAAAACTTAAAAATGAAACTTAACAAACATTGGAAAGAAGAGAGGGAATAAAAAGAGAGGTAGAGAAAGTAAATTAAACCCTCATCTTTCATGGTAGGAAACCAGTCATTATTGCTTCAGTTAATAAATCAAGAAATAATAAATAGCTATATTATTCAAAGTTATGGAAAAAGCTACTGGAAGAGTTTCAAACAGAAAATTTTATAAGAGGTTGCCTCTGGGGGGTGGGGGTGGGGGGAGGCAGACCTGTTTTGATTCACACAGTGAATACCAGACAGATACAGTGTCTGACCTATGGCCTTTATATAGACTTTAAGCAAATCACTGCTGTATTAGGGGCTATTAAAAAAAAAAAGAGCATCAAGGGATTCTGTTTACGCAAAGGGATTTAGCCTAGAGTAAAGCTCTGGGAAGGCCTCCCTGAGGACGTGATATTTAATCTGTGTCTTGAAATATGAGTAGAAGTTAACCAAGGTGATCCTGGCCTGGAGAATTTGTTCCTTTTGAGAAAGGGGGGCAGTGGACTGTGGAAAGAGAGAGAAGAGTTTTCAAGGCAGAGGCAACAGCACATGCAAACTCTCAGAGCATGTTGAAAGAATCGTATTACTAAGTGCCTTGTAGCTGAAGAAGCCCGGAGCCCCAGGGGAGAGCGTGACGACAAGGGTACCAAGCGAAGCGGCTCCAATGTGAACTGTAAAACAGGCCAGACTGGGGCATGAGACTGAATCATGGCGGAGGGTAAGGTTTTCTACAGAAGGCCAAGATCAGGCACAGGAGAAAGGAAAGCTTGAGGATAGTATTAATAGAAGCAGCTCAGAGCAGCCTTTGGGGAGAGCAGCAAGGAGCCGATCAGAAGTGAACACAGAGCTGACAAGGACAGTGGATGCTCTGTGTCCCAACGTTTAAGGTGGCGTTGGCTTTCTCTCAAGGTCCCAGTCCCTCAACCATGTCACCAACTTCAGACACTAGTCCAGAGGAATCTCTTCCGTGTTACTTCCATTGCATTCCCATAAATGGAAACTGTCAACAAGAAATTCTGAGCATGTTACTCCCATATCTTGTCCCGGGGCTAATTTATTATCAGCCCTGGGGGTAAAAAAGAGGAGAGGGTCTAAACAAATAATCTTTGTTTAGCTAGAGAGGGTCTTCCAGTGTACTTATTGCATGAGGAGAGGAACTCA